CTTCATAGCTCTTTCTTCACGCATTGAGAAGCAGAATTCAGCTCGGAGGAGATGATTTTCCGATCCCGTGTAGAACTTCGGAACAACAGCGACATCAGTCAGGCAAAACCTCCGATTGAAGATGATGTGGTCTATTTCATTATGGAACCGTCCACCAGGTGATTCCCATGTCCATCGCAAATGAGAGGGTTTCTGGAACTGCGAGTTATCATGGATGGTGTGGGTTGACGTGTTAGACTCGGACAGTCTTTCACCCTGCTCATCCCATTCCATTCCGTGAGCCCCGATGTGAAGCTCTTCGGTCGTTCTTCTGGGCCAATCCTGGCGTTAGAATCACCAACGATGACCTTGAAGAAAGTGTGGTCTTCTCTGTAGAGCCCCTCCAGATCCATATAAAACGCTCCCAACTCCTCTTCTTCGTAGCTCGATGTTGGTGCGTAGGCAACGAAGATGGTTAGAGCTGAGGTTGAGCCACATCGTCTTAATCGCAAACGTCCGATTCGGGTTGTTAAGCTTGCGTACAAATTGATGTTCATAACCGAGTGTGTATTGACGAGGACACCCTCGTCAATACGACATCAATATTAGGGGCTCCCTCAGGTTCAGGGGAATGAGGCCCATTTTCATTATTGTTTTTGGCGTGTAAAAAACCCATCGTGTAGCTTGCCAGGCTCTGACGTGGGGGACGAGGGGCTTTGTTTTGGCGGCCCCGAATCGACTTCTAGATACTTCCCAGCGTGACTTGTTCGTCACTCGAATGCAAGCTTCTGGCCGAGTCGATGCGCATGATACCAACTGCACCCACAGACTCTCCACACACGCCTGCGAGAAGCAGAGGTATATCGACCCAGCACAGCAGAATCAAGGAGTCCATCTCCTGTACCCACCTGCGTCTCTGGGCAAGTACCGGTGACTTTTGGTCGGCGATTAGTATCCGCCACCTGAGGACGCCCTACGTAGCCTCGTCACTAACCGGCTGGGGATCCTTCAGTGAGAGAGAACTCAGTGAAGAGATCCGTAGAGAAGACCAGGAGTAGCTTCGTAAAAGTACGGGCGTACCAAAATTATGGGCGCCTATTTATTGTAACGATTTTCAAGCTTCGAGCTGAGAACAGCAATAAAATCCATAAGCACCTCTGCTTACGTTATGCTACTATATATAATTCGCTATTTGTGCCGGTGTGTTTGTGTGTTTGTCGATGTACGTGTCCGACCGGAAGTTCATAGCTCCTGTTTCCGTCGACCTGGAGAGTCCAAACTTGATAGGAGTACGTGGGGCAGGATGGGAATACTTATGGCAAGTAGCAGGATCGGCCTTCGCCCACAGGGGGAATGCTTAACCATGGTATCTCTGTAAAGGAAAAGGTCCATTGATAACGACGTCTACAATCACATTTCAAAATATCTTATATTAGCACGAGTAGAAGCTTGAATTCTGCTCTTGAACTACTTCCGAACTAAAAATGGAACGGTACCTGCGTGTGGCACACAGGTAACGTTCCATTTTCTCCCAGTTGCCCTTTAGTCTTGCTTCATGAGTTTTAACCGTGTTTACAAAACCAACAGGTACTTCTTAACCAGGAACCGTAAGTAGAAGTCATGTGAGTTGAGATATGGAGAGCAGGATAGCCATTTTTCTTCGCTAATGAAGTCGAGCAGATGGCGTCTTTCACTCTCTTGGACGAACTTGGTTCCGTATGCCAGAGCGCCACCTGCTCGATGAATCAGTAGCCGTTTCAGAAATCGCTATAGTGTCAGTGTTTCAGTACGCCCATGAATATGCCCTTTGAGCACACGACTTTGTTAGCTTTCCGCCGTCACCGACGAAATCGACAAACTTCACTTGCTCGCAACTCCTACAATAAAGATGCAATTGCTGTTTCTACGACAACTTTTCTATGGGTAATGTTAAACGTAGTGGAAGTGGAGGTTTACGCGATCACCGTGACGTGAATGGCATGTAAGGGTATTTACACAAGATTCAACCTGTTCTTATCGCGAAAAGAGATGAATACATCAAGTCGAAATTGTCCGAAACTGCCCTTCACTGTCGCCATGAGTCAGGACAAGTTGTTAGAACTCCCTACATGGGAGTCCCTTGAGATAGTGCAACCTTTACAAAGCGGTTGAAACTCGTCAACTATAGGTGTGGCATTCACACAATACAATATCTGGCCCCCTACTGTGCCCTATCCAAGACGTTTTGCGTCTTTATAGCGGCGGGTATGATATAAGAGGGAACCTCGAGTTTATACTAGAGAGGAATCTCGAAAACCATTTTTATCGTGAACTGTGC